TGGACTACTCAAAACAAATACTCTGTATATTCATGAACAAATCTTTATTTTATTTTATTAAGAATACTTTGCTTTAAAAAAATATGATTTTTTGTAAGTGAAAGACTTATAATATTAACTGAAAGTCTGCCACATTTTAAGAAGATGTCACACTATACTGAAAGCTAGAAGTATTAAATCTATAAAAACTTTAAATGAGTACAAAGACATCATGTGGTCAGTCAAATTGACCAAGCCCATGTTGAGAGAGTTATGTTCAGACAGGTTTAAATTAGTTTTTTATCATCCTGTTAGTCTTCTTCATGGGTTTGGATTGTGATTCAATTGGGCTTTTATTCCTTGTCTCCTTCTTTCCATCATCATTTCCTGGTATCTTCACTCCGATAATGCACCTTTCTTTTTCCCTGCATGTCTATCCTGCTGTCCATTGGAGGTACTTCATATGTCAAGCACTGGGTCTACATCTCATACATTAATCTCCCATTCTCTGCTTTGGGAAGCTGTTTCTTCCTTGTCGGGGTAACATCATCCACTTGTTGCCATTCTTCACTCTTTCATGAGACTGACTGGGTAAGTTACCTTTTAGTATATATATATATATATACCTCTTCTTTTTCTTTTTGGATCCTGCTCTGTGGAAAGTGGTGCCTGACCAGGTATTCTTTAACCATTCACATCCACACTGTAAGCCATGTTGACTTGCATATTATAATTCCATGGCCATGCAATGCACACTGCAGAGATGGTGTGTTCCACAAGATTGCTTGTAGGTTTGTCCTTGTGATAGATTTGCTACATAAGTTTGCCTGTACTCACCCATAGACTACATGGGTAAAACAGAAGGGGATAGCTGCTCATCCTTGCTATGCCTTGTATTGAATAAATCGGTATGGTCTGCTTTTCAAAATAGGGTTTCTTGGTCACCTGTTGCACTGTTTCAGGTGTTGTCGTTCCTCCAGACACTCCACCGTGCTTTCCCCCCTTTTTCTTCTAGTGGAATTTGAGAGTCTCTACCACTTTCCAGTTCTATGCTGCTAAAGTGGTGGACCGTGGAGGCATCCTCCTGTATGGGTTAATGAAATACTAACAAAATAGAGAAATTATTATAAAACCATTCAGTTGAGGGTAGGGCAGTGGTGTTCTGCTGGTGTAGATGATGTGATATCCTCCACTATGAAACAAAAACAAATGGGAGTGAGCTGTCAAAATTGCAGTTCACCCCTTTTATTGGAATCCCTCATTCTACCCCCCATGTGAATGTCTGTTTCCAGTGGCTGGGTTTTGGATTTAGAGTTCAACTAATCAACATAAGTCCTCACTCATATATTACAGATGTTTATATTACCTCCCTCATTTATATTATTGTTACTCCATCATTTTGTGGGTCACAGTGGAGGTCTTTGCAGATTATTATGGTTCTTCTCCTTCCGCTATCCCTCATTGCTACTGCACTTGGGGGGTTCCTGTCAATTTCAAATTTGAGGAAATGGTTTACATTAAGCAAACATCTTTTCGATGTCAGTTTCCCAGTTCAATCTATCAATTTTTCATATTATCATGTGCCCTGTTATAAATTAGGAGGTAATAGATTCGCTCCAGTCTCATGAACTTCAGGTAAAGATGGTATGATCCTCTTTCCTACCCCCACATGGATGTCAGTTCCCAGTGGCCTGGGTTTTGGATTGTAGTTGACTTGCTGATGGTATGATCCTCTTTCCTACCCCCACATGGATGTCAGTTCCCAGTGGCCTGGGTTTTGGATTGTAG